GCCCTAGAGGGGGGGGGGGGGGGAGGGAGTTATTTTGGAAACAGTTAATGGATGTCTTTTTTAAAGTAGTAGGAGCCAAAAATAATATGTTAATACAATTATATGAATGTTGTTTTCAATGTTTTTAACTTTAATGACTACACAATAATGGCATTAATTAATTTGATTCCTTTCTTTTGCACTTCCTATTTAAGTGCCTGCTATTGCTTCCACTAATCATGTCAATGGTAAAACTACTGTTGAAGTTAGAGGATGCAAGTTTTAATTTTTTAAGTCAACTTACATCTTTCTCTTTCATTCCAAATACTGATATGATATACTGTATTGAGACCAATTTTCACAATGGTGTTCATGTTGTATGAGTCTGATATTATTTGACAATGTTATTTATGTTAATTTTGATTTTGTAAGTCTACCTAATGAGTTGCTCTTCAAAACCTACTAAAGTTATTAGAAAGACTTACACTAATGCCACTGGACTTTGGATCAGGCCCTAGAGGCAAAGGAGCACAGGGAGTGACTAAGCCAAATTCTTCCTCCATTGACACATCTTTAAATTCAGAGTAACCCTAGGGTATGTCTACACAGCAGTGTTATTTCGGAATAACTGATGTTATTTCAAAATAACAAAATGCTACATAGAAAGCCATTATTTCGAAATAATGTTGAGATGGAGGACTCCAACTCCTGTAAACCTCATTTCACAAGGAGTAAGGGAAGTCGAAGGAAGTGTGTTCTTCCTTTGACTTCCTGCTGTGTAGACAGTGTCAAATGCTGAATTAAGCTGTTTTGATTTCTGCTGTGCAATTGACATAGCTGAAGTTGCGTATCTTAATTCGACTTTTTCCTTGCAATGTAGATGTGCCCCTCGTGAAGTAAAGGAGATTAATCTGGCCAATATGAGGCTACATCTATACTGCAGCTCTATTTCTGGATACAAGAGGTATCCCAAAACAGCTATTTTGCATCTTTTGAGCACACCCATTATTTTGGCTCGCTATTCTGATGTCCCTGTAAACCTCATTCAATGTTTCAGACTAGGGATGTTTCAGAATAGCAATTTATTTTGAAATAAATGCCATGTTGACAGTGCCAAATTTCTATATTAGCTCTTTTGAAATTAGCACGAAATAAGCTATACCATTTGTTTAGCTCAAATTGTGTAGCTTATTTCAAGCTCTGAGTAAAGTGTAGACATAACCTGAGAGTGCAAAATTTGGCCCTTTGAAACCATGTGGATTAAAATGGCATATTATAGATCCATTTCACTCATTTGACTGGAGTAATTCCACTGATAGCAGTGGAATAGTCCATATTTACACACTTGCATAATTGAGCAAAGAACTGAGCTCTGCATAATTAGTTAGCCAGGGATTTCAACAAGGCTACTAAGGTAGTTTGTGATTTGGAGACGCAATGCATAAAACCTCTCAGGATCAGGCCCTAGAAACTTCTCATCAGGTCTAAATCAACTGATACTTTTTTACAGTTTTGGACTGATCCTGTAATATCTTACTGGCATAAGTTGTTGATCTCACATAAGTCAATAGGTCCAGTCATGTAAGTAAAAACTTCAAGCACATGGACAAGCGTTTGAAGAGTTAAGCCCTTTAGTTGTAACCTGAAAAATTATTGTTTTGTTATGAGAAAAAAAAACATATTAAATTGTATCTGTATTTTATTTTCATTTGAAACAAAAAGAACAATTTTAATGTCTTCCCTTGCATTTATTGAAAGTCTTCTCTTTTGGTATGTGAGTACAGTACTCCTAGGCTACGTCTTCACTGCAAGTTCTTCTGGCAGAAAATATGCTAATGAAGGACTTATTAGCATGAGTTGCAATCTCATTAGCATATTTTCTGCCATTTCTTTTTATGCAAAAAACCTGCGCGCAAAAAAAAACTATTTTCTGCCATTTCTTTTTGTGCAAAAAACCTGCGCGCAAAAAAAAAGCAGTGTGGACATTTTTGTTTTGCGCAAAAATCCCTTTTTCCGCAAGATCCTTATACCCCCAAAAAGGAAGTATACTGATCTTGCAGAAAAAGGGGGTTTTGCCCCAAAAGAAAATGTCCACCCTAAAAGGGGGTTTTGCCCCAAAAGAAAATCTCCACAGTTTGTTTTGTGCAAAAACCCCTACCGCAAAAATGGATTGGCAGAAAATATGCAAATGAGATTGTAACTCATGCAAATGAGTCCCTCGTTAGCATATTTTTCCAAGAAAACTCGTAATGTAGACATAGCCTCACTGATTATGCCCATAAATAAAGACAAATCATGTGATGAAGATTTGCGGCATCCGTCCCTTTCTCCTTATGTCTTGCTCACCGTCTGCATAGTGGAACACCTGAGGAATATATTAAGCCCACATTTCTCAAACTGTGGGTCCTGACCCTCTCTCCCCCGGGGTCGTGAGCAACTTAGAGGGGGGGTCGCGGTATCAGAAAGTTTGAGAACCCCTGCATTAAGCAATTATTACTGGTCTTGTTAGTATTATAATTTTGTAAATGAAAACAGATGTTTTGTTGCACAATTATAGTTTAAATTACAGAAACAAAATGCTGAAATTAAGCTTGCAACAACAATGGTAACTTTCTCATGTGGAATACATTTTTATGATTTACACCTTACAACTCAAAGAATGACAGCTAAAGATATGCATCTAACCAGGAAAAAAAAAGACAAAATACTAAATGTGCTTTATAGCTGCATTAATGTTGCACTCGAAACCACCACCCCACCCCCACCTTTTTTTGTTTGTTTGTTTTTTAAGTTTTGAGTGAGCAATTGCAACATTTCATTAACGTGATGTTTTAAACCTCATGGAAACTGAAGTTCCCTTCTTTGGGGGTGAATCCTCTACTTGAGATGATGTTGCAGGGAGGTACAATATGTACTTCTGCGGGCCAGAGAGATCAATCCAGATCTCACTTTAGTATAAGATTATGGAGAAATATACATATATTTAATAAAGTTTACGTTATAACATTTTTAGTTTCTCTCTTGTTATTCACATTCCAAGGTTAAAGATAGCTTATAACTTCCTGTCCATATAGTGAAATTGAGTGAGTGCTGAAAAAAAAAACATAAAAAATAAAAAGCATTTTGACTTTATGGTTTGGGGTTTTTTTGTACAGCTGTCCATGCGTTCATTGGGCTTGAACTTTTGCGGCTGAATATTTTTATCCTTTTTCAAAACAGTGAGCTTTGTAGCACTGCGATTTGAAAATCCAGCTTGGTGAAGTGAAGCAGCTTTTAGGCTGGTAATGCAGTTTAATCTTGCACAAACCCAGAGTGCCTGCAGATGAGTTAGTGAAGGGGGTGCAATAATAACAGGAAGTATAAGCATAAAAAGTGCACCCAAATGTTTAAGGATTATAAAGTGCAGAAGCATAAGAACGTAAGAACGGCCGTACTGGGTCAGACCAAAGGTCCTTCTAGCCCAGTATCCTGTCTGCCGACAGTGGCCAGCACCAGGTGCCCCAGAGAGGGTGGACCGAAGACAATGATCAAGCGATTTATCTCCTGCCATCTCTCTCCAGCCTCTGACAAACAGAGGCCAAGTATACCATTTTATCCCCTGGCTAATAGCCTTTTATGGACCTAACCTCCATGAAATTATCTAGCTTCTCTTTAAAGCATTTAAAGCTTCTCTTTAAAGCATTTCCTAAACCTTTTTTTAAAACTGTATTAAAATCTTTATAGTACAGGTTCATCACAATTAATCATGGTCCTCCTCCCCCATGCACATTTTAAAATTCCCCTTCTTTAAATGGTTTAAACTGCTGAGGTAAGTGAAATAAAATCCTATAATCAAGACCTATATTTTGACCTCATCTACGAGTCATATAGAAGTCAGTGGGTTTGCTCTCCATTAAAAATTATGTAACTGAGACTTAAATTAGACTTTAAAATAGTTTAATTTAAAACGTACACCACTTGGCACCAGTGATCAAATTCTTCTCTCAGCTATACACATTTAAATCAATAGCAAATCCGCAGACTTTGAGGGAATTACTGTCAGTTTAAAATGGTGTCACAAAGTGAAACTGATTCTATAGAGTTACTTGTAATTTAAATTAGTGAACTGGGAGTAGAATTTGGCTCAAACACAGATGATTTTTCAAAGTTATACTGTATTCTGATACAGCATCATTTACATTAAAAAATCCTGTGTAGAGTTTTATGTTAAAGATCAGGAAAATGCACAGGAATTTGGTTTGCATTCACTAGCACAGGTACACATACTTTTACAGCACAAGAAGACCTGTATTTTAATACTCCCACTTTTGAAATTTTGGCCCTGTATCATTGATGTGTAAACGGAGACAGTTTAATTCACTCATTCAAAAGGATGGTTTTGACATGGTGGGAAGAACTTTTGAATATAAAATCTCCTCCAACATCTAAGCCTTTTTACATATGATGGTCAATTAATGCAGCGTATGTCTGAGTTAAAAGGGTAAATTTTACTGCACATCAGAGCAGAAATGTGAATTCAATAGGATGCATTTTGCAAGGAGGTCTGTGAGGCAGGAAATAGCATGTGGTGATTATTTTTGTAATCAGATAACTGGGCTAACTGTCTTTTTGATCAAGGGAATTTCAATACATTGACAGGAATTATGAGTTTTATCCAAACTATGATCAATTTAAAAAAAAACCAGAGTCCTTGATCTGAAGTTGTCAGGGTGCCAAGAA